TAAATATTCCTCACCTATGGAGAAATATTAATAAATATTCTCCTTTAAAAATATCCCAACCTATTCTTTTGGATCAAGAATACCCCTACTCATTGGAAATGGCTAAAAGGTACTCTCCTTCCATATTTTGGTCTAAAAATACCTTCAAACTTTGTTTTTGGTTTAACAATACACCTCATTCCACCTTTTAGTCTAAGAATAACATCAACCCAAATTTAATTGAATTGAATTCTTTTTACTAATTTGTTAGTTCTTTTGTTATTTATAAAAAGTAATTTTTTATTTATTCAAATTCTTAATATTAGTTCATCCCAAAATATTAAAATATTTAAGTCTAACTATATTTGAAATGAAAAATAAATTCTTTATATTTATCAATTTATTTTAGTAAAGAGAGTAAAGAAAAAAAAGAGAAAATTTGGCTAATTAATATATTCATAGGCTTGACGATTTATCCTCAACACTAAAAAAAAAAAAACTATTTATTGATTAAAAAGTAGAAGGTTATATAATAATATGTCTATTTACTAATATCTTTAATCGAATAAAAATTACATTGGATATCCTTTTTGCCAACACATCGATTAGTTCATTGCCTAATCATAAGGGTAGCCAACTTTCTAGAATTAGCACTAAATAAAAAGTGACATAAAAACTCTAGATTTTTCTAACATAATAACCGTTAATGATACTCCGAGGACATTTATTGCATCACATATTGATCTCTTATTATGTTTGCTTATGATAATGCTTATGATACGTCCTTATATATAAAGCTGGATATGAGAGCGTTGATGTGGCATTCCTCTTAGCCCAGCATTTGTATTTATATTTTGTCTTTTTTTTTTTTACCTTTTTCTCTTATTATCATCTTAATATATTGATTAAATTAAATAAATACCCTCTATTGATCATTTCCCTTTAAATTCTTCCATTAATTTCTTTATTATTTTATGTATATGTACGTTACAGTATACCGCAAATGAAGAGGCAATAATTCATGAAACTCATTTTATGGTTGCAAATATTTAATTCTGCCCCTAAATTTCATCCATTAGTTTAGTTATTATTACAATTTACATGGATGAATGTCATATTTAGTCCTATCGAAAAGGCAAAAGACCCAAGAAGCTGTTGTTATTCCTGAAAATAAGTAGTAGTACATTTTCTTATCTTATTCCTTCTCTAATGAAATTGTTTGCTTAATTTTTTTTATCTATTGTCACACACACACACACACACACACACACACACACACACATATATATATATATATATATATATATATATATATATATAATAAAGCTAGATATAAACAAGGTGATGTGGCACCTCTCAATGGCCTAGAAACCTATTTATCTTTTTTCTCCTTTTTTGAGTTTTTTCATTCATTTTTTTCCATTAATCAATTTATTAAATAAGTAAAAAATTTAGTCATATTCATTATATATAATTATATCATATGAAAGTTACAAAAAAACCTCCATCTATTTGAATTCTCTAATTAAATAACATGTCTCCTCAACTTCCTTCTACTTAACTTTTTATGATTTAAATAATCTATAAATAACAATCCTCTATGGTGTTGTTGCATGTTCATTTCTATATTCTCCAACTTCATATTGTTAGTTTTTTTTTTTCAACTTTTATGAAGATTATAGATATATTTTTAAGAATTTCTTCTTGTGTTACAATAGCCAAACAAAAATTAATTAAGATGAAGAAGAAAGTTTGAAGGCGGTGTAAGATTCGTCAAATTAAAGGAGATGATCAAAAAATAATTTGCTTCAAGTCATCAAAATGAAGAAGAAAGTTTAATGGTGGTGGGAGATTATCAAGAGTTGGCCAGATTAAAATTTAAAAAAGTAGAAGTTTCAATAATATACAAATATATAGATGTACTTATTGTTGCTTACATAATTTTTCAATTAATTATTTATCCATCAAGATGTGTACCCTTCACGAACAAGATTATATTACAAAACACATTTTTTGTATCAAGGGCAACATGATCTTCAACTGATTATTTTGTTGCTTAAATAATTTTTTTTGATATTTTCATTATATAAATTTTTGTCTTTCGCATATACACTTAATATGACATAATTTCCCGATCAAGATTCCATCATCTTTTGTTTAGCTTTATCCGCTTCTTTTCATTCTAATTTAGATGATATAACACATTTCTTTCTTTTGTGGAATTCGAATTGACTAAAAAGGAGATGAGATCCCCTCCATTAAATTTTTGTTTCGTATTTGTTAACACTTTGTGTAAAATTAGCCTTTATATATGATTGCTGGATTCAATTTTCACAAAACATTTAATTCTTCTAATTTAATGAAATTTTTCAGAATGAACCAAGTTTGTTCTGCAAATATCCAATTACAATGAACATATTTTCTTAAGTTAAGAAATACTAAAAGTATAAAAATAATTATACATAGAGAAAATTGATATTTGTTTAAGTTATTATGAAACTAAAAAAATGATTTTACTCTCTTCATTAATTAATTTGTTTGATAATTAAAAAAAATTATAAAATTTATTACATATAATTACAACTCATAAATTACAAAAACCTCCATTTATTCACATTTACTACGTAAATGACATATCTCCTCAACTCATTTCTATGATTCTCTTCATTACCTCTACATTTAGTTTTTCCAAAATATAATGGCTTTAAATTTTAGTCTATCATTTGCACATCAGCTATTCAAGGTTTACATGTAGAACATTTTCATGGATGCATATGTTTTTTCTTTATTTGTGGTTGTAAGCTTTTGGTAACAAGACATACTCTAACTTTGATCTATCTCGTGACTTACAAAAATCTTTATCTATGTATATTTTTTACTAAAATAACATGTCTCCTAAATTCCTTTTTACCTAATTTTTTCTCTCTTTTTAAGACTTCTTATCATTTTTCTTTCATTTACATCATATAATAAAATTACTCAAAATTAAGTCATTTATCTATTACATAAATGAGCGTTCTAAATAACTTTAAAAATAAATGATTTATTTTCCTGATGACGCCATGCACATATTTTGTATTCAAAAAGTCATTTCTTTTATAATTATTTAACATTGTAAATGAGGTGGGGGGGGGGGGGGGGGGGAATGGAAGAATTGTTCAACATATCTCTTAAACTTTGCACAATTCACTTATTTTGAACTATAAAAAAGGCTCAACAATTCACTTATTTTAAAATAGAGGGAGGATATATTATTTATTAAAACTCAAGATTTTTAAAGTTTGTACTAAAATAATGAAATATAATTTTCTATTTTCTAACTTTTTAGTAATTAAATAAAACGACCACAACGAAACATACAAAATCCACACTAAAATGAAATGAAGTACTATTTTAGTGAAATATATTGAGATATAAATATAAACTTTTTTTTATTCGTGTGAAGACGAAAAAAAATTATAAATAATTTTAATATGATATAAAAACAGACACTAGCAAAAACTCTTATATACTAAGAGTCCTATTTATTCTTTTTCTCTTTTTTTATTGTCATAATTTAAAATTTGATTTTCTCTAAATAATTAAATATTAGTGAGTTTTGTAACTCCTCAAGAGTATTTTGATAATTAAAACAAATAAAAATAACGATATAATTTTGTTTCGAGTTGTTTGTTGAAACATTAATATTAATTGCTTTTCAATTTTATCATTACAATTTTATATATTTATCTTTCATTTGATTAGAAAATAGTTAGTTGTTCTTTCCTTTGTATTACTATTGACATGCTTTTTTGTTAATTTTCATATTTTAACTTGCACAATTTTTTTTAAAAAAATAAAAGACTTTTTTAAAAAGATTACATACAGTCGTACATAACAAGTATTTAAATAAGTATTTAACAAGTATTTAAATATTGAGAAATGATATTATAAAAAGTCTAAGTTCAGTAGTTCCTCATTCAATTAAGCATCCCTTCTTTTAAAAAATGAGGAGGGCAGATTATTTATGTTTTATTTGATGATCAACGGCAAATAGAAAATTAAGCAGAAAATTAAGTTAGTATTTTTTTTTTCAAAATAAAAAACATGTTCTTTTCACCCCAACAAAATAATAAGAAAATTGTATCTTAAAAATTGAAACAATTATAATAAACATTTTAAAATTTTGACCTAAGTATTGATCATATTTCTTCTTTTTTAGTATGTGCTAATTTATAAGAAATTTTTGTCTTAAAAATAGTTGTTATGATCGCGCGAACATGTTAACTAGTTTATAATAATAAAGAAATAGAAAAAATGATAAATATTAGTGAATTAATTAGAATATAAGTTGTATTGAAATCTGACAATGTTATATGTTGTCCGTACAATGACTCAATCCTTTGCCTTGAGGTTCAAGAAAAAAAATATGACAACCGATCTAGTAATGTTCTTTACAGAATTATCTTCAATAAAGATTTTGAGCACAAACCGTTTAAAGGGGAAAAAAATCATTTAGTTCAAATAACAAAATTCCAAATTTTCATATAGTAAAAGTTTAAACGATATTAAAATTACAAATAATAGATATATAAATCAATATAGATAACAAAAATGTTTTTATTTAAGATTTGAATCAATAAATAGTTGGCTTGTGGTTAAGACGGCTCTAGTGTTAGGTGAAAGATTGACTTATCTACCGACAGGTTAGGATAGGTGTTATAATGACCTTGAGTTTTGGAGCATGCATGACACGTGAATTGAGGGTACTAATAAAATCCAAGCATGTTGGTTGAATTGTCAAAGATCAGCGATACAATTGTCTTTTGACAAAAATATATATAGTACGGAGATCATCTTTGTGTAATTTAATCATAATTACTAAAAAAAGGAGAAAAAAAAAAAACTTTCTTAATTTATAAACATTAACGTCTTACCATCAAATACAAGAAAACAATGACTTATCCCAAAATTTGGTGATAAACTTCATAATCCTTTTAGAATGAAAATAGTAAACACACAATATAGGCTACGAATATCACATTTTTTTTGTTCAAAGAGTTTGGTAGAGTTCCACAGCCAATCTGGGAGAAAGAAGTGGTTGAAGAGGCTTGACTTTAGGCAAGGCAATGCCTAAGCCCTCAGTTAGATCTACTGGTTCGTCCTTTGGCATTGAAATATTGAATCCATGAAGTAATTTTGCTAGCGTAAGATGCACTACTTGGGTTGCAAACGTCAAACCAGGGCACATTCTTCTTCCAGAGCTAAAAGGAATATACTCAAAATGTTGTCCTCTAAAATTAATATTTGTATGTTGGTTCAAAAACCACCTCTCTGGTTTAAACTCATTCGGATCTTCCCAGATTCTCGAGTCTCGTTGAAGCTTCCATAGATTAACAATCAAGCGAGTGCCTTTTTTAATATGATACTTACCGATGTAACAATCTTCGATGGCCTCTCGAGGCCCTGCCAAAGGACCAGGTGGGTAGAGACGTAAGGTTTCTTTTACTATAGCTTGCAAATAGGGAAGCTTTTTGATGTCTGACTCTTCAACCCATTTATTTCTTCCTATTTGCTCATCTAGCTCATTCTGGGCTAGTTTCAATGAGTCAATGTTATTCATTAGCAAAGATAATGCCCATATTAATGTCTCTGCAGTGCTCTCTGATGCTGTCATGATAAGTATCTGCAAGATAAAATGAGAGAATATTTCATCTTTCTCATAATTTCACGATATTTTTTAGTAGTCATTTTATCATTGTTCCTTCAAGTTACATGTGATTTTAAACTAATAGTTATTCGTTCAATTTAAAGAAGGTACTATTAAACTGATAGTCATTTTTCCCAAGTTCTTGCTTGGATGTGAGACACATGGTATAGATAAAAAATAATGGCTAAGATTTAATTGATTAAAATATGATTTAGATAATTAATACTTCATAAGAAAAATATATAATATCATAATTATAAGTCATAACAATATAATATCTTGTCCATAAATATATTATAAAAACTTTTCTCTTTTCTAAATTTTTTTTCCTACGAGTATTTATCTTCTGTTTTTTTAAAAAAAAATTAAGTCTTAGATAGCAACTTTGAACTTTCTCTTTAAAATTAGTTTACATATAATTAATAACAAAAACAATCTCAATGAAAAAAAAATAGAAAAAGAGAAATTATTTTATAATATATTTATGGACAAAAACAGAAGATAATACTAGTAAGAGTTTTTAAAAAAAATGAAAATCAAAGAATAATAGTAAGAAAAAGATTAGAAAAAAAGAGAATTTTTTTAATAATATATTTATGGACAAAATAATATATTGTTATGATTATAGTATTGTCATTTTCCTTATGAAATATTAATTATCTAAATCATAATTAAAATCTTATTTAAATTCAATTAAATTTTAATCATTAATTCTTACATATGCCATGTGTCTCACATCCAAGGAAGAACTCGAAGAAAATGAAAAAAAGAAAAATGAAGAAGAGTCGGATCCCTATCAAGTATAGACAGTGAAAATGAAAGCCTTCTTGAGTTGTCTTTTTGCATCTCTTTCCACAATAAATTACTTTGGTAGGCAAGCCATGTGATTAAGCAGACTTATGTTTTTTCATACAACCTGCTATATCTACTTCTATTTATTTTATAAAATTCCCAAATATAATCCTATATTTTATGAATATGACATATCTTCAATTTTTAGAAAAAATGACAGATAAAAAGCTAAAAGGAAAATGTAAATTCTCTAACTATTACTCCTCTCTTTGTTTCAATTTATCACTTATTTTTTTAGTCAGTTTAAAAAAGAATGATACAGAATAATTTAACTTTAAAATATATATTTTACTCTTAATGAAATGATTTATAGCCACACAAATTTCTATCATTCATTTTAGATCACAAGTTTTAAATATTTTTTTTTAAACTCCATATCGAATCAAACTACCTCACATAAAATGAGACATAGATAATTAAAATCACGGTTCAAACTAATAATTGCACGAATTTACTATTAGGGTGTGTTTGGTATGAAGGAAAATGTTTTCCGTGGAAAATATTTTCCTAGAAAATGTTTTCTTGGAAAACAAGTTAATTTTTGACTTATTTTCTCATGTTTGGTTGGTGAGTAGAAAATATTTTCCGAAAAAGATTTTTAGTGTTTGATTTATGAATGAAAAATGTTTTTGAAAAAATTTCTTTTATTTTTACTAGAGTAGAAAATAATTGTTGAAATTGAAAATATTTTTTAAAAACAAACTTAATTTTTTTTGGGGGGTGGGGAGTGGGGGTGGGGGGGTCGAGGGTAGGGGTGAAAAATTGAAAATTTGAAGTTAAAAATATTTTTCAAAAACAAACTTAAAATTTTTTTTGGGGGTGGGGGGACTGGTAGGGGGTGGGTTGGGGGGGGCTGGTAGGGCGTGGGTGGGGGGGTCGAGGGTAGGGGTGAAAAATTGAAATTTTAAAGTTAAAAATATTTTTTAAAAATAAACTTAATTTTTTTTTGGGGGTGTGGAGGGCTGGTAGGGGTTGGGTGGGTGGGGGGTCGAGGGTAGGGGTGAAAAAATGAAATTTTGAAGTCGAAAATATTTTTTAAAAACAAACTTAAAATTTTTTTTGGGGAGTGGGGGGGCTGGTAGGGGGTGGGTAGGGGGGTCGAGGGTAAGGATGAAAAAATGAAATAATATTTTTTTAAAACAAACTTAAATTTTTTTCTTTTTGAAGGAGGTGGGATAGGGGGCTGGTGGGGTGAGGGTAGGAGGTGGGGGTGTAAAAAAATAAAAAATTGAAATTAGAAATATCTTTTTAAAACAACTTTTAATATTATTTTGGGAGGGGTGGTAGTAGGGGGTGGGGGTAGGGGTGAGGGTGGGGTAAAAATATTGAATTTAAAAACAAACTTTAAATTTTTTTTTTTTTTTTTGGGGGTTGATTTGAGGGTAGGGACCAAATAAATTGATTTTTTTCAACAATTTTTTTTTAATTGGAAGTTGGAAGAGAGTTTTGGAAAATGCTTTCCTTAAGTTTTGAAGGGAAGTCATTTTCCTTAAATTTGAGGAAAATGAGTTGATTTGAAAAATATTTTCCAAAATATTTAACCCAACCAAACATGAGAAAATTAGAAAACATTTTCCGAAAAATATTTTCCTTCATACCAAACACACCCTTATTGTTGTACAATTTCAGTTTTCTGTGCTTTTGGTTAATTATGTGAAAAGTGATTAAATAAAATTAAACAAAATGGATTGAGATTTTGTTTATAAATCATAAATAAAATCATTTTTCTTTAAAAAAAATTGCTAGCTACTTCCTACATGCCTAACTCTTAATGACAAAGTTGTTTATTTTGTTTCTTCCTTTTATTATGGCAGCGTGTTTCATGTCATTAAGGGGATTTGGTAGGTGTATAAAAATAATGCTAAATATAATATTTGTAGTAATTATGTTTGCATTAATTATGAAAAGATTATTTTTTATATATTGTTTGGTTTGATATATTAAAAATTGCATGAAAAAATTTCAAAATAGCTATATTATATAGATGCCCTTTATAAATTTGGTAAAAAAAAATATAACAAAAGGGCAATAGGGGCAATTGAGTCTTTCACTATACTAATGCATGCATTAAAACCCTTTGCATTTACTAATATCATAGATTTTCATGTTTTAGTAATTATACACCTCAATATGCAATAGAGTTAATTAGTTATACATACATAGACTGAAAAAGTGTACCAAACAAGATACTAACAATACACAAAGTTATATGCATTTTTTTTTTCTAATACACTCAATCAAACTATCCAAAATGAACTCGAACACATGGAATTTATTGCATTTAAGTAATGTACTAATACATTAAATACTATTCCATGAAATCATAAGTTTGATTCTTCAATATCTAACATTTTAAATAGTACTCCATTCATTTAGTTAAATGTTATTAAGGACCTCTTTTATATAGTCAATCCTTTTAATTAAGCGGGCCAGATCAATAATTGAATTGGATTTAGGGTGGGTTGCATCCTAAATAAATCTAAGTAATGACTTTAATTTTTGAAATAAATAAAAAAAAACTAAAAATTTATAATAACCAACACGCTATTGAATAAGTAGAAGAAATTGCATTTTCGGCTAAAACTGATGATTATGAAAGTTAACTAAATAAAGTTGAATAATTACTTTGTTGCTAATTATTTGTCCACTTTTCGTGTTTTAATTGTTTCTAATTACTTGTCCATTTTGACAAATCAAGAAAGGACAAAATAATTTTACCTATAATACCCTCAATTAATTACTTTGAAAAATGTAGAACTTCTTGAAATTCTTAAATTTTTAATTCATCCACTTCATAATTAATAGAGGTGAAATAATAATCTCACTATGTCAATACTCCCTCTATTCCAATTTATGTGGCACTTTTCGGATTTCGAGATTCAAACAAGTCTATCTTTAACCGTAAATTTTTCAAATATTTTGAATTGTCAATTATTATAACTTATAGTATTTTTTACGTAGTTTTTAAATATATAAATTTCTTTTCAAAAAATTTGAAGATTCCATCCGCAAATCGTCTGTCAAACTTAAACTTTTTGACTCTCGAAAACCGAAAAGTGTCAGGGACAAAAGGAGTAAATGCTTTCTTAATAAGTGTGTTAATTCAAAAATTGACAAATAATTAGCTAGGAAGATAGTATTCATCAAAATAATAAGCAGAGCTTACCAAAGTTGTTGCCTTGATAATGGCATCACGATTGTATGCAGCAGACTCCATATTGGTTTCCTCTGGAAGGGTGGAAAGCATGATATCAATAAAATCAGATTGTTCTCCATCTCTAATAGAATTGATATGTTGTTTTAACCAGCTATCAAACATACTATCAACTTCTTTATAAGTCTCTTTCATTGCTTTAATATGCCCACCAATATCCATCCATTCAAGCCATGGAATTGCATCTGAAAAAACAAAAGCTCCACCTAGGTACAACGCTTTCTTTATAGATTCTTTGAAATTCATCTCCTCCGCGCATCCAGTAAATCGCTTCCCAGCAAGCATTCTAATGATTATATTACAGGTTATGTTCTCAAACCAACTACTTAAATTCACTTGTCCTGGACAATTTGAGTACAATTCTTTAATACAACAACTCACTTCTGATGTACGGACATGTTTTAGATTCTCAAGGCGACTGTTAGTTAAGAGTTCAAGAGTTACCATTTTACGTATATCACGCCAGTATGGTCCGTAAGGGGCCATAGCGAAAACGGCTCCATTATACCCTAAATACTTGCTTACTGCCATATTTGGTCTACTAGCAAATATTTTGTCATTGTTAGCTGTGAAGCAATCTTTAACCATTTCCCAATTACTGACCACAATAGCTGGATGGTCACCAAGTTGTAATTGAAAAATAGGTCCATATTTATCAGCCATGAGTCCTAGGGTTCGACAAACGGGAAGATGGCCGTTAAGAAGATGAAGGTGACCTATAAAAGGCCATGCACCTGGAGCTTTAGGTGCACCAATTGCTGCACTTGTTATGTTTCTACTTTTGTATTTGCGAGCAACAAAAAGGGCTAAAAACCAAGCAACTAATAGTGGTAAGAGATGAGAAAGAAAATACATGTTGATTGTATTGTAGTGGAAACTGGAATGCATGGAAATATTTGTGTCAATTTTAGAGCAATTGAGGTTTTTATTACTTTATACTACTAGAGGAGATCAGATAGTAGTATTTATAATTGAACTACGAGAGGTTAGGAACACTAAAGAATTTTTTGCTTTTTTTGTGGCCTAAAATTAAAGAATGTAACAATGAGTGGACCACAACATAGACCATATACTGTGGAGTATTATTGCATGAAGTACATGGATATAGGCCACAAAAAAAAGATACATGTTACTCCCTGGGTTTATTTTTATTTATTTATTTATCATATTAAAAATATAATTATTTAATTTAAAAAATTAAGATATAATTTATTAAAGTATAATTCAACTACTAATAATCAGACCTAACAAGTAATATAAGACACGTCATATAAGTAAGGAGGCGTGTTTGAGGAGTGTCTATTTTACATAATTGTTCTGATGAACTAATATCAATATGGTTCCTAGTCTAGTCACATAAGGTTACAAAAAATTTCTTTATAGCCTTGAGGAAACATTAATGACAAAGTGTTATGTGTGAGGTTTGAAAGTACCTACAATCTTAGATGATTTCAGTTTTATTTTTTGTGGTCACAATCTCTATTTGTATAGATTTTTTATCTCTTTTAGAACAATGATTTATTAAAACAAAAGAGTGAACAGTATTTTATACTGCTTGGTTAATGCGTTGTGACCATTGTCACATCTAAAGTATCTCTAGGAATGAATGGAGAATTATTGATTAATCTTATGTTGTTGAGATTGATTTGATTAATCAATTCTTTGATTTATAACGATCGTCTTTTTATTTAATCTAAAAAAAAAATTCTTCAATCAAGGATAACTTAATTTTTTCTTAATTAAGTGTAGAGATCCGGTCGTATTACTTTTCTTGCCTCTAACTTCTTTCCATGTTGAGATAAGTAAGAGTGTTTCTTGAAACTAATGTCTGCTTTACAATCTTCAATCAAGGATAACTAATGCCTGCTTTACAATTTTCTTTTACAAGTTAACCTATTTTTTTGGGAATATTTCAAGCATACACGATTAATATTGAAAATTTGTGTCTGAAGTGCATGGATTTTATTTTCGAAATTTCAACGATTCAACGCCCAATTTTATTTCAAATAAACTCAAATTGAAACATAAGTTTTATATAATAAAGAACAAACTTTAATCATCAACTTGTTAAAAAGGACAACAAATGTAAAAGCCATTTAGCACATTTTAGTTTTTTTTCATGTATGTCTCAGTTTCAATTATATATGACAGATATACTTGTTAAAGTCTACTAAAGTTTTAAGAGTATGTGTCTGCATATTTTTTCCAACAAAATAATACTCTTCATTTCAATTTGTTTGACCTGCTTTTCTTTTTAGTTCATTTTTAAAAAAATAACTCTTTCCTTTTTTGACAACTTTTCAATAGCAATCTTTTACATGACATGTTTAAGTGTCACGCCCCGAGATTACACACTGGACGTGATGAGCACTCGAGAACCATCGTTGGTCCCCAAGTGAACCCTTGACCTGGCTCAGTACTAAGCGGAAGACTTACTCAACAACATAGGACCTTAGATACAAGTATTAACTCATAAGATCTCATTGATAAAGTAGTTTAACTCAAAACCGTTTGAAATACTCAAATAAACATAAATGTTCAACTCAAAATCTTTTAATTTCCTTTAGTATTTAGTTATGTAACTAATACTTATTAAACTTATTTTAGAATGATTTAGTACTTTTAAATTATGATCATTTTCATTATGACTTGTTAATTTGCAATATTTGTTTTACGCGATTTCATTATTATTATTATTTTGTTGGATATTTTAGTATCATTACTTATATAATATTTTGTATTATTTTCTTCAGAAACATCTTAGATAGTTGTATTTTGGTAAGTAGGACTAAAGAAATATTTGAAGTACAAGTAAATTATATGTTTGTATGAATACTTTATCGAAAAAACCCGAAGTTGAAAAACTCGATTTTTATTGGTTTGGTTTGCTTTATAGATTATTTAAAAATCCGACACAAATGATTTGATTTGATATTTGAAAACCCGAACCAACCAGACCATGTACACACCTACTTATTAGACATGATTAGAATAGTAAATATGATTAAATTTTTAAAATTAATAAACAAAAGATTTATTGAGAAAATGAAGAAAAAAAGCCAAAAGAAGGAGAAAAAAAATAAATAGAAATGAAGGTCATAGAGATGCCACATCACCTCCTCTATGTTTCTCCTTTATATAGAGAGAGAGATTGGGTATTCGCGTAAAAACATACAATGAGTTATTGACTTGTTTGACCAAGCAGATTTTTAAAAAAAAAATTCTTTATTTGAAAATCAGTGTTTGACCATGAAAATTTTAAATACTAACTAAAATATTATTTTCATTTTTCCTATATTTTCCTTTTCATATTTTATGTTAATATATTTTATTTTTATGAATGATCCATTTAAATTAAATTTCATATTTTCAAAATAAAGTACGTTCAAACAATCAAATATTATTTGTAAATCAATAACCAAACACAACTCCAAATGAAAAAATTCTAAATAGAGTGAAAAAACTATTTGTGACATTATGCGATTATCTATTTTGAGCTATTAATCTTCGAAACAAATTTGATCGTTTATTTCAAATAATTTGGTCACATTATATGAATTTACTAGTCTTATAGAAATTTGTCGGGGGTGGGGGGTGTTAAATCATCAATTAGGAAAAATGCATTTTCTTTGCTGAAAGTATGACCGATCACAACTTCAATTTTAATTTTTTCATAAAATAAAAAATATTTAATTTTCATGGCCAAACACCACTAAATAAGGTCACCAATACATTATTTGCAAATTAACTTTGATGGAAAAGGAAGTTTTATCCGAACTTTGAAATGTAGTTCGATAAAGGGGAACCATGCTAGAAAGCATTTTCCTTTGAATTTCTTTAACAACCTGTTGGTTGTTTTCTTTTGCATCTTTCACATCACATAATAATAGACCTTATTCCTTTTTTAAAAAATAAAAAATTAAATCAATCTCTTCTAATAGTTTTGTTTCAGTTAATGATACAATGCATCCGTTTAATATATTTTGAAACATTATTGATGTTAGGTATAAGACTATTGATTTTAGTTTTGTAGCGATTCTTTTAATTATTTACATTAATCTATAAGGAAATAAGCAATAAATCCATTCACATTAGGATGTATTCAAAAGAAAGCACAAATGAACTCTGGAATTAGAAAAATGTCAATTTGTATGTTGATACTGAAAGATTTCAATGTGTGTAAATCAAATTGGAAATTCGTAATCTCCTACAAAATAAAGCCTTAGAAACTAAAATCTTTTTATTTTGTATTTTTAAAATTATCTTAAACTTTAATTGAGTAATTTATTGAAACACTTACTGACATCTTAAAATATAATATATATATATATATATATATATATATATATATATATATATATATATATATATATACACACACAAAACAGTAATGTTAAAAATGACGATAAATAATTAATGAAAAGGGGAAGAAGGGAAAAAATGGACTAAATTAAATGAGAAAAGGAAAGAAAGAGAAAGAAGTCAAGAAAGGTATTCTTGTTGATAGAACTATGCCACATCAACAAGCTATAGAGCACAATTAAGGGTGTACCAAATCAAACTGAAAATGGAATCAAATTGTAAATTGAGTTAAATTGAAAAAAGTTTTGACTAATAATTTGGTTTGATCTGGTGTGGTATTAAAAAAAACTCGACTATACTTGAGTTGGTTTGGTTTTAACTAATTAAGAATGCCAACCCGAGACCAAACCAATCCGACATTTATATATAATTTTTAAAGTTTATTTTATACGTAAAAGTATTTACTTTGATATAATTTCTAAATATTACTTATATCTTTTTCATAATTTTTATTTTTAACATATTTTTTCAAGCTTTTTGAGACATAGAATTTTGAATGGTCCAATAAAAGTTATAGTCCATAGATATTAGTAACTCTAATTAAACTCAATTCAAAATCAAATCAATACTAATGCTAACAAAAAAAAATTGATTCAGCACTAAGAATGACAATAATGTTAAATATTTGCTCTTAGTATTACATTGGTTTAGACATTTAAAACTCATAACCTAATTTTAATTTTTCTTTAATGTTTAATCATGTAATTAATACTTATTAGTCTTATTTTATCATGATTTAGCACTTTTAATTTAAATTATGATCATTTTTTGTTATGACTTATTTTGCAATATTTATTTTATACAATTCCATTTTTTTTTATTGAACATTTAGTGTCATCACTCATCTCATATCTTGTGTTATTTTCTTAAGAAATACCTTAGATAGTTGTATTTTTGTTGGACTAAAGAAATATTTGGATAACAAGTTAATTATATGATTGTATGAATACTTTATCAAAAAAATCCGAAAAGTCCAAAAAACCTCAAGGTTTATTAGTTTGGTTTGATTTATAAATTTAAAAACTTGACACAAAGAATTTGATTTGATATTTGAAAATCCCAAACCAACACGAAAAAACTCGAAATTAAAAACCCCAAAACAATCCGAGTTTTATTAATTTGATTTGGTTTATAAATTTTAAAATTTGACACAAATAATTTAGTTTGATATTTGAAAATTTTGAATTAACTCGATCATGTAGTACACCCCTAACCACAATTATACAGTCATAGATATTAGGGTATATTAGACCCTGTGCAATACTAAATATTAGTGCATATGCAAGAACGAATCCAATATATATTATTTCATATATAAAAAATTGAAAGTGAAAGGTCAGATGGGGTGTGGTAGATATTTATTTTTTTCAAGATAAAAATAATATCTAACTTTTTTTTGGTAAGGGTGAAATAAATTGAGGGGGGGGGGGGGGGGGAATTGTCGGGGTACAGGGGAGGAGGTGGTGCCGAGGGGTAAGAAAAATATTTTAAATTAAAAAATATTATTTTTTAGGTAATAATACTTT